GGGTCTAGAATAATTTGCCTGAACCCCGGGGGTTCATAAATTTCACCCTGAACCAGGGGTCCAGAATAAGGACGCTCTTTTTTGATACATTATTTTTCACATGATTTTTATTCTATATATCACGTCAGGAGATCTAAATTATTTCACGTGTTATAAATATTCGATGACAAATATTATGTGACAAATATGCTTTTCGCATGTAAAAAAAATTCTGTCCCTAGGATATCTAATAAAAATTGATATTCAAGGGTGTGACACACAGTGATAAATACCCTACCCTCGAAAAACCCTAACCCTAACCCCCGCGGTATAGGTTATGGTGTTCAAAACCACTGGTGTGATTTAAAAGTTTTCGTTAATTTATTACGTAGTTTTTACACGTCTATTTTTCTTGTTTCTGTTCTTTGCAATCGTCAGAATGATTGTGCCTGTGCGTTGCTTTTCTTGCGGAAAAGTTATTGGGAATAAATGGGAAATATATCAAAGCATGTTAGAAACTGATTACACAGAAGGGTAATCATTATTTTGTTACCATTCTATTCTCTTTTTTTTAAAATATTTCATTTCTAAAAATTTTCTATTAAAAAGTGTGGCAATGGATGCAATTGGACTTCAAAGGTACTGTTGTCGTCGTATGATTTTGACCCATACCGATTTGATCACGAAACTTCTTCAATATAATCGTAAGTAAAACCAAATCTATGAAATAATACTTCCCAAACAGTATTAAAAAGTTATTTGAAATTAACGAATATATTTTTATAAATTATTATAGCTCAAGAGAGAAGTCGCGAACAATTTAGAGCTCAATATCGTCAGCAGCCTAATACTGTAGGTACTGCTGTACCAGTTAGAGGAACTGGTACTAGATCTCCCGCAAGAACTGGATAAATTATCACACCTATTACAACGTTATTATTATTTATTTCATTTGCTCAATTTTTAAAGTCTCCCCAAGTTCAGTCCCCTGAGTTTTCGTGTGTATATTAGTTCTTTTTTTTATTGGGATAATTGCTTGTGATAAAATGATAAAATGTTTGTAACATAAAATATTAAATATTGTTTTTTTGGGTTACATAAAAAATATTAAAAATGGTATTAAATAATATAATAATAAAATAATATATGTGATATGTGATAATTATGATAAAATTTTTTATATAAAACCCGTTTAAAGCATTTAAAGGCTTGTGTATTTCTTTGAAATTATGGACGATCCGAATGAAGATACTGAATGGTAAATATATATTCTTAATATTTTATATGTAATGATATGTATATTGTCAGTAAATTTCTTTCTGCTCGAATTAAATAAATTAAATAATTTAATATAACTTATAGGAATGATATTTTACGGGCTAAAGGAATTTTACCTCCAAAACCAGGTCCAACTGAAGAAGAAATTTTCGAGGAATTAGATAGAGAAATTAAAGAAAAACAAGATAAACATCTTGAGGATAAAACATTAGATGAATTAGATGAATTAGAAGATGAAGAGGATGAAAGAATTTTACTAGAATATAGGTTTTATTAAAAATCTCAAAAAATATAAAAATATTCAAAATTTTTATAATAATTATATAATAATTATATAATAATTATATTTGGTTGCATACTAGACAGAAAAGAATAGCTGAAATGAAAGCTGAAGTATCGCGCGAAAGGTTTGGTCATGTGATGCAAATTTCGAAACCTGACTTCGTAAGAGAAGTGTCTGAAGCCAGTAAAGATGTTTGGGTAGTAGTACATTTGTTCAAAGATTAGTAAATATATATATATATATATATTCATTATAATTTTTAATTTATAATAATCGTTAAAAGTTAATATTTCAAATACTTATGAAAAAATCCATGGTTTCTATAGTATTCCAAAGTGTAAATTGATGAATATACATCTCGCGACACTTGCCGAAAAATACAAAGAAACCAAATTTTTAAAAATTATAGGAGATCATTGTATACCGAATTATCCAGATAAAAATTTGCCAACTTTGCTTATTTACGGCGAAAGTGACATGAAACAACAATTAGTTGGGATATCTCAATTGGGTGGAATGAACATGACATTTGATAGTAAATATAATCATTTATTTTTTTCATGAGTTTTGAAATTAATTAATTATTTATTTTTTTAATTAATTAATTATTATTTAGCTCTTGAAGATTATTTGATTTCTACGGGAGCTATAGTAAGAAAAGATCAAAAAATTAAAAATCCTGATTTGAGCGATAATAATGACGATGATAATGATGATGATGATATTGATTAAAGTTAGTTTTCATGTCGACTTGTATTATTAAAATATATATACTTAAAATATACTAAAATATGCTAAAATATACTAAAATATACTAAAATATTAAAATATGTATATACTAAAAAATATCAACTTCAATTTTTAATCCACAACCGTTACAAGTTTGTGTTGTCACTCCAGTTTTTGGATCCTTTATCGCCATACCGTACTCATGTTTATGTTCTTTACGTCTACTCTTCTCCAATTTATCTGTTCTTGTACGTTTTCGAAGATCTTTAAAATGATTAAAAATGATTTCATATATGAAATTCTTATAACAAGCAAATATATAAGAAAATATTTGATATCGACAAAAGTTACCTGAGAGCATATTTTTAAATTTTTTATCTTTTCTTGCCTTTTTTTCTTTTTCACGTTTTTCAAATTCTTTATCGAGATTTTTAGCTCCTCCCCATTTTTTAAATGCGAATTCTTCAACCTAAATTAATTAATTGATTTATAATTATAACCTCATTTTTTTTTTCTAAAAAAATTCTTAGAACTAAATTTTAACAATACTTGTTCTCTAAGATATAATCTCATGTCATTCCAAGTTGACTTGTGTGGATTTGGTCTCGAAAGATGAGGTAGAACTTCCTCATCTTTTAGTTCAGCTGTATATATATATATATATATATATATGTTTATATGTTTATATATATTTATATATTCATATACATTTTATGAATTATTAACTTTAAAAAATATAAAAAATATTATTATAAATTATAAATTCATACAATCTGTCAATAAATAATCCTAATATTTCATCCAATTTCGAAAATTTTTGTTAATATTTTGATATACTAAATATGAATCAAAATGATTTGACGAAAATAAATATTCATGAAGCTTACTTCCTTTGCCTCTGTCTTAGTTAATAAACTATACTTTTCTGGAAATTTTTCTTTGCAATTTTTACATATGTTAATACGAAATGAACTGTGAAACTGATAATCAATCTCTACCGTTTTACATTCTTTACATTTAGGGTTGTCATCAAGAAAAGAATTAAGTGCTGTGATAAAAAAAATAAAAAAAATAAAAAAATAAGATATATATATATTCAAATAATGAAATAATTGTTATACATTTTTGTAACTCACGCAAAAAAAAAAAAAAAAATAAATAAATATAAATATATATATCAAATGGTTTACATACGTGGTTCTTCTGGTTCGAGAACTCTTTCTTTTCGCTTTTTTGAATTTATCTCAGATTCTTCTATTAGAAATCCTCCACGGGTGTCCACCATTTTTGAAAAATCATAATCTGCATAATTCGCAAATTTTTTCATAGGAGGTAATACTTTTTCTGTATCGCCAAGTTTATCATTTGTTGTTTCTAGTGAATTTAGTTCGAATTCTAGTAATTTTTGTTTCTGCTTTTCAATTAATTTGGCCTTTGCTTTAAGGCGATTTTCCTCTATGCGTTTCCTTTGCTCCGTACTTAAAATTAAAGTGGGTGGATCTATCACATTTTTCAGATTTTCATCTTTTAAAGATTGATTAAATTCTGTCATTATTTTGTATGCGAGTCCTTTTTATACTTTTTACGTGTTACCAAAGTTGACTTTTTATTTTATGGCCTTATGAGCACCTGATTTTTTATTATGTGCAAATTTTAATTTAAGATATAAAGTCAGACAAAAAGTCTTCTATACGTCTAATCGTGAAAACCGATTTACTCTAGTATAAATCTAAAAGTCGAAACTCAAATTTAACATAGATTAGCTAGATTAGCGAAAATGGGGAAGGGTACTGATAAAATGTAAGTAGCTTATTATTATTATTATTATTATTTTTTTTTTTAATAAGTTATATATATTTCTAACTGACTTATTAAAACTTTCTTTTAATAAATTACTCAGGTATATTACCCATTCTGGTAAAATTTCTAATTTAAATTATTTGATTGCATTATCAAAAGTTTATTTATTTTCATTTCATTCTCTGATCTTTTTTAATTTATTTTATTTAGAATGGTCCGGACAATTTGGTGGAATGCAATTTGGTGGTATCCAAAAAAGGACGGAAAGAGATGTTTTTAAGAGACTTCCATTTGATTATTGTTCTTTATCATTACAACCTTTTGAACATCCAGTTTGTGCGCCTGATGGTATTATCTTTGACTTGAAGTAAGTTTGATTCATGATATTTTTATAAATTTTATTGAATTTTTACAAATTAAATAGTTCATAAATTTCATAAATTATTGTTAGGAATATTTATCCTTTTTTAAAGAAACATGGAACAAATCCCGTAACAGGCGAAAAATTAGAGCCAAAATCACTTATAAAACTTAATTTTCACAAAAATTCTAATGGTAAGAATATAAATTTATTTATTGTATTTTATTGTATTTTATTGTATTTTATTGTATTTTATTATTATTATTATTATTAATTTATTTATTAATTTTTTAATTTATTTAATTTATAGATGAATATCATTGTCCTGCAACATATAGAGTATTCAATGATCATACTCATATAGTTGCAATTAAGACAACTGGAAATGTATATTCTTATGAAGCTATTGATCGATTAAATATAAAGACAAAAAATTGGAAAGATTTATTGGAGGATGTACCTTTTACTAGAAAAGATATTATAACTTTACAGGTATTTTTTTTTTTTTTTAATATTATTGAATCTTTCATCTTTTTTATCTTTTCACTAAAAGATAGTTTTTTAATCAGGACCCTCATAATCTTGAATCTCGTAATTTAACGAATTTTCATTATATAAAAAATGATTTGAAAATTGATGAAGGTAATTTATTTAAATATTTTTTCTTATTCTAATAACTTATAATTTTTATATATTTAATAATGATATAATAACTTTATTAACTGTATCGTCATTTTATATCAGATAAATCTGATAAACCTTTGAATGATATAAATATCGAGGCCACTGGATCGGCAGCTCTTGTTCTTACGAAAATCGCTAGTCGAGTAAGAATATTTTATATTTTATCATTATCACTTTTATTTATTTTTAAAATTAATTTATTTTTAAAATTTGTTAGGAAGATGAGAACAAAGAGATCACATCTAAATCAGATTCACATGTAAATAAAGATTCATCTTTACCATCTTCAAAACCCAAATCTTCCAAGAATTTACCTTATAATGCAGCATCTTACACATGTGGTTTAGCATCAGCTTCATTAACTTCCACAGCATTTACACCCGTGACCGAAAATGAAAATGCTCTTATTGATAAAGAAGAATTCATGTTTAAAGAGATTAAATCCAAAGGTTATGTTCGTATAGTTACTAATCTCGGGAATTTGAATGTCGAACTTTTTTGTGAAAAGGTAATCAAATTAATGACGAATAATTCTTATTTTTTTTCTTTTAAGTTCTAAATATTTTTGAAATTAAAATATATATTTATAATATATATTATCTAGTCACCGCGAGCTTGTTATAATTTTATTATGCTTTCGAAAAAAGATTATTATAATGGGTTAGTGACAATTAAATTTATTTTGGTTATTCGTTTAATCGATTTAATATGTATTATATCTAATTTTCCGATAATATTCGATAATATCTTATAGAACTATATTCCATCGAAAAATAAAGAATTTTATGGTACATTATTATCTAATTCCATTTTTTTCTTGTTTAATAATAACTTTTATTATTTATTTTTAATAATTTTTTATGTTTATTTTTTAATATTCATTTTAGATTCAAGGAGGTGATCCAACAGGTACTGGTAAAGGTGGAGAATCGTATTGGAAAAAAGAATTTCCTGATGAATTTAAAAGTAATTTATCACATAATGAACGAGGTTTATTGAGTATGGCTAATCGAGGAAAGAATACTAATACGTCCCAATTGTAAGAATTTACCATTAAATTATAAATGGTGTTAAATTTATTAATACATTAAATGTATTTTTTTAAATATATTTGATCTATTTGTATAAACATATATTTATATTTATTTATTTTAGTTTCATTACCTTTCGTCCTTGCACATATTTAAACAATAAGCACACTATCTTTGGAAAATTAGTTGGGGGAAACGAAGTTTTGGATAAGATGGAATCATTACCTACAGACAGTTCCGATCGACCTTTAGATGAAATCAAAATAATTGAAGTTACTGTTTTCGTGGATCCATATGAAGAGTATAATAAACGACTGGAAAGAAAACTAAGTCGTCAAAAGGATGATTCTTCGGAAAAAAATAAAATAAAATCTCTCAAAGATGAAAAGGTTTGATTATTCAGAGTTATTTTGCACATTTCTCTCATTTCTAATATTTCTTCTACATAATTCATTCTTCTTTACTTTATTTCCCTTCATTTAATTTTTAATGACAGGAATCGACAACTAATTGGTTTGGTACAAAATTAACAACACTACCATCCAACAGAGATCAAGATATTGGTGTAGGTAAATATTTAAAATCAATAAATAATAAAAGGGATTTAGATAGTGAGGATTTAAATATCGATTATATACCAGAGCAGATTCCGAAAAAGTCAAAACATTCTGGTAATGACTTTGACTTTAGCAGTTGGTAATTGATAAATAATAGATAAATAGCAAAAGGGTGGGTGTAGAAGGATTTGCTCCCTCTAAAATAATATAAGAATTGTTTAATTATAAAATTTTTTCTAATTTTTTAATTATAAATTTAAAAATGATCGTCGAATTGATGAATTTACTCGTTTCCCTAAATCATTCATTTATTTAAATTATCATTATTTCTCACGAATCGGCGAATTGGAAAATCATGTGATTTTCACAAGTAGAGGGTTGAATATATTTCATGTAATTGGCTATCACAATTAATGAATATCTTTTCTTTTATCAGCCTTCTACAAAAGTGTATAAAGTGCTTTTAAATTGTGCGTTATATATTATAACACAGATGTTGCTTTCTGATTATAAAGCATCCAACATCCTGTTTAGCTAGTACACTTTGGCACTGATACAAGGAAGGCAAAATACAATCTTCTAGACTCCCTCGGGACACAGAACTGGTCAAAGAAATTGTTATTGTCTACAGAGACAGGCTATATCAGTTTGTCTTTGACCTCCTCAAGTTTGTCTTTAAGCTCAATGGCACAAAGGTCATGGTTCTCTTAGAAGATAATCCAACAGATGAATGGAGACAAAAAGCAAAAAAAAAAAAAAAATGCAAGAAAGTGTAAACAATATGGTAGTCAAAAGAATGAAGAAGGCAGATGATCACTGAAAGCACGAATGTATCCCAATTTCTCTTAGAAGACCTTTGCTCTAGGTTGACAATATAGTAGTAGCCAATTACTGTCAATGTCACAGAACCACAAAGCAGTTTTTTTTTTTTTTTCAGGACACTTCTTTGGTTAAAAATTAGAAACACAAAGGAATGGGCTAAGAAATAGCGAGAATCAGTACCAACATCATATTTTTATATTTTTATTTCAAATCTAAAAAAAATGATCACCAGACAATTTCAATGCTATTGATTCTAGTAATCCATGCCACAAAACAAAGTCACCACTTTATTATGAATGTCAGAAAGATGCAATTATGGTTGACTGAATGAGATTGGTGAAGTTAAACTAAGATTCAAAATTTAGTTAATGAAGCACATAAAGAAATTGTATTATCAAATTCAATAGCATACAGATGTCTCATAGACAGAAAGAAAAATTAATAATAAGACAATTCAAAAGATGATGAGTTGGATACAATGTTAGGTTTAAAAAACAATTGGTATCTAAAGCAGAAGAATTTTGTAAAATTGTAATAACATCTGTATTTGCAGTTATTGTGAGTATATTAAAAGGAATTTGGGTTAGCATTAGTATTATAACTTTATTATTTAGAATTATTTAGAATTATTCAAAATTATAGTTTAACTAATAAACTAAGCTGCATGATCACAGTGTTTAAAAAAAAAAATTAAAAGGAATTTGGATGGAAATAAATTATTTAGATGTGATGGGTGTGAACTTCAGATTAATAGGAACTTAATTGGTGCCTGGGAATTTTTCTCTGGGCATTGCTTGATGGAGCCTTAGTTATGTATGCCAATTTATTTATTATAGTTGACTATTTTAGCTATAGTTGATCATTCAATCCATCCATGTTATCGAGATTGGAAAATGCTTTTCAATCTCCCAAGCAACTTGTGCTACTTAAGCAACCAGTCCAAAACCAAGTATTAATTAATTTAAGAAGTAAATTTTAATACATTTTTCAAAGTACTTATTAGCAATATTTTAACTACGTAAATATGATATGATAATGATTGTAGATACAAGGACGTATACAATTTAAAAATATATAAATTTGTTTACTTCTCGGAAGTAATTACGTGTATACAGTAACTTTTGCACGATTTCTTAAATCTTGTTTTTATTGTGAATTAATTTTATTATTCGTCGATTTACATGAAAGAACCATTGATTTGTTCAGTACAATATATAATAAAAAAAAAAAAAAAACTTTTTATCTTTGCTTGGTAAAATAATTGATTTATTTTATTTTATTTTTTTAGAAAATGGTTGTTTTTAAGTAAAATTTATTCATATTTGTATATATAAAAAGATAAACAATTCTAATAAATAATTATAATAATAATTCGAAATAAACCCCCAGAACTTAAAAATTGTTATAAAATAAATCATAACAATAAATAAATAATAAATAGTCATAATGACAATATCAATAACAGTTATGGGAAGAATATTCCAAAAAATAACAAGTAAAAAAAAAATAAAATTATAAATTTTGAATTATGTAAAAAATAAATTAATATATATACACAAAATATAAACAAAAAATATAAATAAATAAATATATATATATATTGAAACAACCATTTGATAATTTTTTTGTTTTTTTTTTCCTCTGATTAAGAGCTAAAAAAATTGAAAATTTAAATTATATAAATTATATACGAACGAATAGATTAGCTAAATAAAATTTTCAGTATTCATCTTTGTTTAAAATTTTTTTTTTTTTGTTTTTTAAAAAAATGATTGAAGGGCCCTTCAATATAAAAGTAATAATTAAAGTGCTGTTGAGCATTACGCTCTCTCAGAAATAAATATAAATATATATGTATGAGAAATAAAATGGAATTACAATAATAATGTGATAAATGTAATAAAAAAAATAATAACAGAGATAAGCTTTTCGTCATTCAAAATTCTCTCTTCTTTCCTCCTCTTCTTTCTTATCATCTTCTTCTCTTATTCCCTTCTTCCATCTTCCTCATTCCATTCTTCCATCCTCTCATTCTTCCTCATCATTCTTCACAAGTTTATACCTTGAGATGATTTGAGTTATTGGAAGAATAAATAAATTTAGGCGAATTCTTAACTAAGAAAAAAACACCTTATATGCGGGTTGTTGTTACGCTGGGAAAATTAATCAAAATATATAAAAAAAAAAAAAAATTTTTTTTAATATTTTGATCTTGGAATCCATGCGTTTGCGACAATGTGTGCGGCATCTTCTTTGTTGACTGGGTGATTTAGGCAAAAAAAAAAAATAGACCTCTCATTTGTACATAAATCGGGAGAGCCTGGAGGTCTTTTTTAATAATAATGACGCGGACCTGATGTCCATTTTTTTTATTATTATTAGGTAAATGTTGCACCTGAATTACTTAACATTCGGATATTATATTGCCACTATACAGTTTGTGGCCTTTTTTGAATCCAGGAAGAGATGATGCAAAAATGTCAATGAATTTTTGGTATCATTTATTTGACTTTGGCTATAAAATTATTTTGTTTTTTTTTATATATAATTAATATAAATTTTTTCTTTTTTAAAAAAAAAAATCGAGGATAAAAAATACATATATATATTATATATAAAATACTAACGATTTAACGTATTATATTGAACACGTCATTTTAAGCGTCATTATTATTGGATGATGGACCTTCGTTAGAAGAATTCTTGGAAGATGAATATTTGTGGTAATGATGATGTTGGTGTTGGTGATGGTGGTAGTAATAATGCTTCATAATAATAATCATCATATTTCTAACTTTTGTAATTTTGATTTCGATAATCTTGGCAGTTTGGATAATAATTTCGATAATAATTTCGATAATTCCAATAAATTCATCAAAGAAGGTATCCATAATGTATAATATATATAAATATATATATATATATATTTTGCCAACCCGTTCAACAAGATGATGATAAAAACTTTAAACAATTTCAATTAAATTATTATTAATTTTTTTCTTTTTAAAAAAAAAAAATAATATGAAAAGATATATATATTATATATATCAGATATATATATTTAACCAGTTGTTTAATGAGAGTTATGTTAACATTTTTTTTACGAAAAAAAAATAGAAATTTAAAATTTGGTGAATTTTTTAAAGTGCATGATTGAGAGTAGAGAAAAGAGAAAAGAGAGAATTGGATCAAAGGTGGAAAATCTTGGTTTTTAAATAATTATCTGAAATTATTTAATCAATTGTTATCAATTTATTAGCATTTAAATAATATCAATAATTATCAATAATATCGATAACATCAATAATATCATGTATATAAAAAAATATACAACAAATAGTTAAAAGTAAATGCGTTATACAGTATATCAATAAAATAAATAATAAACGTTATATTATTATATGTGTTAAAGTAGGTTTTTTTTTTCTACGCGCCTTTATTTTTTTATGTATAGTGATGATAATGATTTGACTATGATGATTGGGTATGAATGATAATCATGATGATGATATGTGAATGGGCTTTTTTTTTTTTTTGTTTAATCGTGTTTAGAGTGTTTATTAAATATATTAACTATTTATTAACTATTTATCAATTATATATATTAACTATTCATTAACTATATATATTAAATGTATACTAACTATATATTAACTGTATATTGACTAATATAGACTAATATTATCTATATATTAATTGTGTATTAACTATTATGGGCCTTGAGTCAATTTTTAAAAAATATACAGCCTAAACATTGATTTATATGTCACGTATATCACTAAAGTTAAAAATAATGCGAGAGAAATCGGGAAAGAAACACGATTTAAAAAATTTTTTTTTTTAATTTAACCACAAAATATAAGAAAGTATAAAAAAAAAAAATACAAAAATACAATATATATATATATATAACAAAAATAAAAATACAAAAATGGACGTTATATTAACTACTAATTCAAGAAGTTCGTGGTGTTTGGAACGCGCAGAATAATGATTAATATTCAGTATATTTGTTTGTGGAAGGGGCTTTGAATAAATGTGTCCACCGACCGACAATGATAATAGAAATATAGTAAAAAATATATATAAAATGAAATATACATATATGAATAGATAAATAAAATATATATAAATATATATTATTGTATATGTGTTATAAAAATATAGAAAAGGCTTTGTAAAAAAATTATTATTATTACTGACCAATGATAAAATTTATTTTATTATTATTATTTTTTTAATTGATTATTGATCTCTTTAAATAAAAAAGGCTGAGATGCTATTATTATTGTAATCTTATAACATTTGTAATAATTATAATTGCTTTTTCATATGATGAAAAATTTGGATTTTTTGTTCTGGTAAATTGCTTCGATTATATATTATACGATATACGTACGTCGGTTGCCGAGTTCTTAGAGATAAAGCAAATATTTGTAATTAAATAAATATATATATAATGTGTGCACATATATATCGCATGCTTGTGTATATATATGTAAATAGGCATGTTTAGACATAATAATTAATTAAAAAAAGAAAGGAGAGAAAATGCTAGGAAAAATTTGGAAATTTAGGAGAACATTGTCAACGTAGTAGAGCAGTAATAGCCGAGCCGAGAGAAATTTTATGGCTTCGCGAAAAATGAAAAATATACAAATATTTATAGCAGTAATATTTAATAGTAGTACCAAAATTTTTATTTTGACGTGAAATTTCTTTTTGATCGTTTAGAAAATTAATTGAATGAGTTTTTTATCGTGAATAATAATTAGTTTCTTTAGAAAAAAAAGAATGTCTAAAGTATGTTCAATTTAATACAGTGTAAATTTATTAAATTAAGTTATTTATTTTTTTTTTTTAAAAAAAAAAAATCAAGAAGCGGCTTGCAATACATACTACTTAGCCACTATTTTTCTTCATTATTTGACACATGGACATAATGAGACATAATTCTCGTGATATCCAGTAATTTTGAATCTTGAAATTCGTGAATACAAACAGTAATTTCTGGATTTAAACTTCGAAATTTGGATCGATTTTATTTTCAACTCTTGATTGTATATAAACACACAAAACACCATTCCCACTCACTCACTTATTCTCTCTATTTCACTCGTTTACTTATTAATTACTCACGCATACGCACAAACGCACAGACACACAGCCGAGACTAGCAATTAATATCAATTAATATTAGTAAAATAGTTATTATCAATTAGGTAAAAAGAAAAAGAAAAAAGCCTTTAGGTGGCTTGGTTTATAATGATCTAATAATCCCATGCGTACCACCATGTTCATTGCTACCACGTTCGTTTCCATGTACTAAATAATTTATAAATTTCCAGAAAAGGGTTTTCACAATTAAAACTTTGATGAAAGATTCCCTATTCAGATTATATAGATATATATATATATTTATTTATTTACTTGAACAATTATTTTCCCAATTTCAAATTTAAACAATTTTACACAATTTACATGTTTCTTTTATTTATCTAATATTATGTGTTATATCTAATATTGTGCCTGAATGATATTTGATATGATATTATATCGTGATATTATGTATTATATTATATAATATTGCCTGTTATTTTTAACATTTTTTTTAAAAAAAAAATTAAATAAAATATCAAGTACAACTGTTGTCAACAAAAAAAAAAAAAAACTATATAAAACACTAAATACACGACATGAAATAGATCAATCCCAGGATTCTCAAAAACTAAGCCACTTGAATTTTTAGATTAAACTTTAAACCTTAAATCAAAACAAATTAATTATCACCAAAAAAAATATCAAAAAAATATATATAAAATCCATGTAAAAATATTAATAATTAATCTTTTCCAGACTAAAGCCAAGCCTTTCTTGTTTATATATACATTTTATTTGTCTGCATTGTTTATTAAGTTATTTTTGTTGTTTGATCAACTTATTAATACTGTATATACAGTATACACTTGATATTTATTGTCTACATAATGTATACTGTGTACATGGTGGCTTTAATTCCAAAGAAAACTTGAAATTATCTCGTTATATATTAGACGATCACATGAGGAAGATTACCAGTAGACAAAATTACAAACCTATCCCTTACTAGCATTAGCCTTAACTCCTTATGCAGGTAAATTTTACCTGGTTAAATTTATACACTCTGAATTCATACTGCGGCTAATTTGTTGATAATAATGATAATAATATCAATACTGTATTGGAGTATATATAATGCCAGTGATTAAACATATTTCAGACTCCAAATCTATTTTACCAGCTAAAGAACAACTAAGGAACAAGTTATTTTTTTCATAATAAAACAAACATAAAAAACAATATCACGAGGAGGCTGTGCAATAAATAAAAATTATTTATTATTGTCATTGGTTATAAAAATTAATAAAATAAAGATGAATCTTTGTATATATCATTTATCTATAAGGATTAAATAGTAAAGATAGATTAATTTATAATTTCAATTATTTTATGTATTATATATAATATATAATATATAATATATTATTTTTCGACAACAATAAATGTCAAATTTAAAGTTATGTATGTGTCACAATAAAAAAACAAAATTATTACTTATACGACCGACGATCTATTTTTTTCTATATACATAAAGTAAGTATATCTGATATTACTTTTACTAAACGTTATTTTTTTTTACGTGCCACTTAGAATTTAAATCATCATCTTGTAAACAAATAACCAACAACAACAACGACAACTCATTTCTTTTCAACATGTGAAACCTGATCATCTTTCCAGTTTCAAACTACTATTAAACACTCGCAAAAAACAACCCACACATAACATATATAAAAAAACAACCAAACAAACACAACACGCGCGAGAGGATAAAGGAAAATCCAGTCCAGAAATCAGGTTTTAATGATAATGATAATGATAATTTAACTTATTTTAACTATATTTAACTATAGCATAATTTAAGGTTATCAATTCAATAATCACAATGCAATAATAAAGGAAATAGTGATAATGATAATAATAACTGATAATAAATAATCAATGTAACAATCTTCTCCTTATTATGTCCTTATTATATCCTTGTTTTAGTGTTTTTTAATGAATATTATTACTCCTTAAAGATCTTAAAATGTTAAATTATTCATTTCAAACATTATTAAATATTTATTATTGGTTTTTTTTAAAAAAATTGGCAATTGTCTCCGAAGTCTATAAGTCATGTGACTAAGTCTGCAATTTTAAAGAAATAATCAACAATAGGATTCATTCGCTTTTTTTTCAACACTTTAAAATTTCAGAGTTCAATCTAGAAAGATATTTACGATATTTACGAGATCTTTTTTTTTTTTTTTTTTTAAAAAAAAAAATAGCCACTATCTATCATCATCGTTATCATCCATTATCCATCATCCATCATCATTTACAATTCCCTCACAAGGTTTTTTTTTGGAAATTTTCTTGTTATTTTAGTTATATTTTATCGAGGCGTGGATGTAGATATAATATATATATATTTATATAAATTAAACATTTGTCATCTGTCATTATATTGAAATTAAATTTTCCTGTACACATATCAAATATATTAATCGTCGTATTAATTTCTGTATTAACTTTTCAATTGATTTTAAATTTGATACCGGAAAATAATTTATAACCAGAACAATGGTTAGGCAAATATTTAAAATTATTTCGATTATTTTTTTTTATTACAATCATTTTTTTTTATGATTTCGATAAGTGAAAAAGATAATTTCCGAAATAATAATAAAAAACAAGTTTCATTCAAGACCATGAAGATACTTTATTCATTGTTATTACTAGAATTTCACGACCAATAGTTCGACGAATGAAAAATTACTGGCTAAATAAACAAATGTAATATAAAGTGTATTGATATAAAGTTTGAGAATATAAAGTGTGTTAATATATATAGTGTATTAATATAAAGTGTTACGTGTTTTTTTTTTTTTTAAAAAAAAAAAAATTTCGGGATTGACCATAATTATAAATAAACGCGTACACGCTAGCTTCTACTATCATTGTTAGCTACTACTTCTAGTTGCTGGTACTACTTTATAGTTCACTACAAAGAACAAAAGAAAAAAACTTGAAAAAATTATCTTTATCCCAAAATATATATAAATAAAAATAATATATTTTATATGAATATAGATATATACATATACATATATAGATATTATGCAATTGAAAATGGTTATCTATTATAGTAATCATCTTTTGCTAAGCAAACAACTCGTATTTTCGTATTTTCGTATTTTATAAAATATCATGAGAGATTATAACATCATATCATGTTGTATGCGCTAAGCAAATCTTGATATAACCAACTTTTTTCAATAATTATAATAATTATTCTTAATTGTTATACTCTCGATTATATACTCTCTCGATTATATACTCTCTCGATTATACTCTCGATTATATTCTCAATAATACTTTCAATTAATCATTATTTTACTTAATTAAATTACTAGCACGAAATCGTTATCAAAGAAACCTTAAAACTTAATTAATTATTATTTATCATCAATTTTATATATAAATTATATATACATTATATTTACATTATATATATAAATTGTTGTTGATGAATGCTAAGCATTTATCATATGATAACTTTAAAATATTTGAATTATAATTTAAACTTTTATGATAATATTATTTGTTTTTGTTTTTTTTTGATGAACATTTTTGATTGATTGCGGCTTATTTTGTTTAGAAAGAAAACGGTTATTTTAATATGTCTTAAATAATCATTTTTTATTAAAATTATTAAAATGGTAAAAGGCATTGTAATGACGAAATAATTTCAAAAAATATGAAAATCAAAATACGTAATAACCTGCTTACATACAGTTCTCACGTGCACGTGCAAAAAGTATCTCTTTTAACATTATTATTATTTTTCATATGTTGTGTCCATTGTGTTCTACCTTGGGAGATATTCACCATTTTTGTAATATCGATGAATTTCCTTCTTGAAACTTTGAACTTTAACACAGTTAAGGTTATATTTATTTTTTTTTTTTAATAAAAAAAAAAAATAATAAATTTGCTGACAACTCCTTTTCACAAAATATATTGTTTTTCCCTATGGTTTTTTATTGATCAATATAACATTTTCTTAATTTTCTCGGTGTTAAAAAGTTATCCCGGAAAGTTGATATATAAAAAATGAAACATTTTTCATATCAAATCTTTATAATTTTTATTGGAATTCAATTGATTCAATTAATTGATTTCATAATTGTTGACGCAGTAGAATATGAATTCGATAGTTTGGCTACCCAATTTGATATGAGACCTTTAGAAATCGATCGAACAGATGTTCCCAAGAAAATTATTGTTGGAAGTTTTTTTGGAGGTAAATTTAAAATTTAAAGGTTTAAAGTTTTATTTTAATAATAATTTATAATTAATATGAAAAGATAGATCAAATTTGTTGTTGTTATTTAATATAGGGTTAACTCGTGTCAAACCAATATTAGAGATTTGTAAAATATTAGTGAAACGTGGCTATAACGTAAGATAAGATGACTTATCATCAATTTTTAATCATTAAATTTAATCATCATCAACTTAATCATCAACATTATTATTTCCAGGTAACATTAATTGCTCCTGGAAACATTTTACCATCACCGGATTATCCCAATATTAAACAAATCTCTACCGGTCTTCCCGTCAATTATCGAGAAGATCCTGTTTATCAAGATATATTTTATAATCCTCTTAATAATCATAACAATAATAATAACAATAAGAATAATAACTACAAACGAATATCTAATTTACGTGAATTATTCGTAAATAAGTATTTATCACATTTTAATGTTTATAAAGACGCAACAGAAAGTTTAAAACCGGATTTATTTATTTGCGATGTGTATATGAATGATGTTTGTTTAGATATCGCTTGGATAAATAATAAGCCAATTGTTGGATTTAGTGAAGGATTATTAGGTAATATGTCGTTTTATTTATTTATTTATTTTATCATCAAATTTATCAAATTTATCTAATTTTGCAAATTTTTTAAATTAATTATCCCTTTTTGTGCATTTTATGTTTTACATAGCATCACCATTTATTTCATATAGATCAGAAATTTGGTATAATTGTTATATCAGTATGGAAAATGAATCATTTTGGAATAGATTTAGATGTGCTATAATTGAACCTATTAAATTAATGACTGAACTTTGGTCAACAAATGATAAATTAAATAAAATTAGAAGTAAAGTTGGAGTAAATCCTATATCTAATCCTTATGAAAGAATTAAAAATTCTTTATTTTTGGCTGATACTTTTTTTGGATTTGAGGTGATTATTATTTTTTAATTATTATTATTTTTTAATTATTATTATTTTTTAAGTTATTATTATTTTTTAATTATTATTATTTTTTTGATTATTTTTATTTTTTAATTATTATTATTTTTTTAATTATTATTACTATTATTAAATTATTATTTTTAATAATAAATCATTATTATCATTATTATTGTTGTTGTTATTATTATATTAATATTGTTTAAACTAAAATTTTATAAATTTTAGGTTCCACATCCTACATCTCCCCTTGTTCAGGTATTCTTTTCATTAATTAATAATATTTTGGTTTATTCATTTTAAATTATTTAAATTATTACTCATATTATTACATTATCTTTTAATAGGAAATAGGACCAGTAATGCAAGATGAATATCCAATTCTTACTCCAAATCTTCTTTCCTTTATTAATTCTCATCATAAAATCCTTTATGTTTCTTTCAATAATGACATATACACCACTTTAGAAAATAACATAATTCTTTTACAATCATGTGCTGAAGCTATTCAACAAAAAATTATTGATGGAGTAATTTGGTCATTTCTTAATCCCACTTTTGATGAAATACTTTCAAAATCTATAACACTCTCTGATGGAACTAGTTTTACAACTACAGAAATTTTATCTAATCAACTTTCCCATTTTTTAATAACTAGATTTACTTCCCAATTTTCTATATTAAATCATACTAATGTTAAAGTTTTCTTAAATGAGGGTGGATATACTAGTATTTATGAAGCTTTATATACTGGAACTCCTATATTAGCATTACCAATAGAATTTGGAAATTTAAATAATGGTGAAAGGTTAGAAAGATTAGGGGTAGGAATTACTATTAACAAAATGGAATTAAATATAAAAGATATTTTAAATAAGATAAAATTATTATTAGAAAACAATAAGATACAGAAAAATTTGAAGAAAGTAAAAGTATTAACAAGAATTAATAGTTATAGAAAATATAGAGCTGCTGATTTAATTGAATTTGTGATGCATGCTTTAACATTAAATCCTATTGATACTTATAATTTGGATGAAAATAATAATAATAATAATGGTAATGATATTGTTAGTGATAGAATTATTAGTGATGATAATAGTCAAGGTTACATCAGTAGTAGCATTATTAATAGTATTAGTAATATTATTAGTAATAGTTTTGATAGTTATAGTAATGATGATAAAGAAAATAATAGAAAAAATAATAATGATTTATTTGAAAATTATGAAGGATTGTTAAAAGAATGGACACCACCTGAAATAAGGATGGGAATATTTAAAGGTAAATATTTTGATGTTTATTTAACTTTTCTAGGTGGATTGATAATTATTATGTGGTTTATATTATTAGGATTTTTTAAATTAGTAAAACTTATTTTTAGAAAATGTTTTTGTAATTCAAAGAAACATAATATAAAAGTTAAATATTAAAATATAATTTTTTTTTGATATTTTCAATACAATATTTGGAAGAAAAAATAAAAAAATCAAGAATTTAATAAATTTGATATTGTTACAAAATGATATGACAAAAACTTTAGAAATTAAAGAATAAGAGATGATTAATTAGATAATTATCTTTAATTAAAAACTTTAACAACAATTTACAAAACATTATTAAAATATTGAGACAAATTTTCAAGAAAAAAATACAATTATTTAAATATTATTTTATAATTATATTATGCTTCAAAGACAGAAATCACTTTTCATCTATGTTACGCAAATTTTTTATGATAAATTTTGTGTAACCGTATCTAATATAACATTGATGATTTTTTTTCAGAAATTAATCATTCTTTCAGTTCACCAAAATTCTTTCAATTCTTCTAATTCATTATAATAAAAAAAATCAAAAACCAATTATTCATGTCTGATCCTTTAGAACAATTAGAATCTTCTTCGCCATTATATAGATATCGGGCAAATATTCAACTTTTTGATCGTCTCATGGCTATTACTGCAATATCTCTTGGTTGGGGATTTCTTATTGGTACATATACTGGAGCCAGAGCTGCCGGGCTTCAATATTTAGCAGAAAATGCACATAAACCTCCTAAGACTAAAGGTGAATGGTATTTTTATCATAAACATAAAAATGTTAGAATGATTTTAGGTGGATTTCAAAGTGGATTTCGTTTATCAAGAAAAACTGGTTTAGTATGTTTAAGTTTTGGTGTTATAGAAGGTGGATTGGATGAATTAAGAAAAGAGAATGATTTTTTTAATAGTTGTGCTGCTGGATTAGCGAGTGCATTAATTATATCAGGTTTTTGTAAGTAATTAAAAAAAAATTTATTTTAAATAATTCTAGATGAATCAAATAAATAAATAAATAAATAAATATATTAAATATATATATATATATATTTATGTATTTTATGATAAAAAATAATTTCTTATTAATCCTTTCAAATAAATTTATTTCAAAAGATCGTTTACCCCGGCAAAGCACAAAATATGCATGTATAATAGGATTAGGTTTTGGTTTACTTAGTGGTAGTTTACAAGATTATCTTAAATATATTCAAGGACAAAAGATTTGGTATTTGGATATATTAAAAAAAGAAATAAAGAAATAAAGAATATTATATTTATAAGAATATAATAATAAGATATAAGTTTTCGATTAATATAATTTTCAAAAAAAGGTTTATTTATTTTCTGATAAAATTTTAAAATAACGCTCTATTATTATAATAAATTTCTAATAAATTCTAATTTCTGTAATATTTTTGAATTTAATATTCTTAAATTTAATGTTTAATTTTAATGTTCTTTCATTTAATTTAATCTACTCTTTTAATCTACTCTTCTAATCTACTCTTCTAATCTACTCTTCTAATCTACTCTTTTAATCTACTCTTCTAATCTACTCTTCTAATCTACTCTTCTTTAACTTTAATTCCACCACCACCATCACCACCACCACCAACTAAAATTTCCATCAAGTTACAAAAAATATTAACAAAAATGCTGACAATTATCCAAATTAACCATGCAATGAAAAATATAATAAATAATATTCCAAATATTAATAAACCAAACACATCTAAATATTTTCCTTTTACGAAACCCATTCTTGAATCTGGTGTGATTAATTCTCGTAAATAAGCATTCGCATAATTTGAATAATTTTCTTGTTCATTTTTTACTTTAATTTGGTTTTTTCCATTAAAATTATTAAAATTATTATTATCAATATTATGACTATCAATATTTCTATTAATTTCATCATTTTCATCATCTGAATTCACCACCACCATCGAATTATCAACACTCTCATTATTCTCTTCGTCATTTTCATCATTATTTAATTGAGATGTTAATAACAAAAATTCAATTAAATCTGCTGCTCGATATTTTCTCTTACTATTAATTCTGGCTAATACTTGCATCCTTCTTACATTTATTTGTATATTCTCATCAATTTGTAATTTCTCAATTTTAATAAGAATATCATAAACACTTAAATTAAATTTAGAAACTGATAATGCTACGCCAACATTTACTAATTTTTCTGCATTACCCATTTGATCAAATGCTATAGGTAATAATAACATTGGTTTTGCAGTATAAATAGATTCATGTGAACTTCTCGAATCACCATGTGAAAAGAATAATTTAACATTAGTTTGATTTAATAATGCAAATCGAGGAGAAAATTCCGTAATATAAATATGAGGAAATTTGTTTTCTAAAATATAAGAAGTTTCGAAGGTAGTACCGTTTGATAAAATAATATCGGAAGGAAATTCATTATTAGGTGATGATGAAAATGACCAAATTATTCCATCAATAATATTTTTATCGATAGCTTCGATGAATGATTTAAGTAATATTTCGTTATTTTTCTGAGTTGTATATACTTGAGTTCCAAGCGTAACAAACATTGTACGCTTATGAATAGAAAGAAATTGGGAAAATTGTGGTGTTATTGGTTGATATTCATCTTGCATTACTGGGCCAATTTCCTTTAAATTATTATAAATAATAAATTATTAAATAATATAAATGATAATGATAATAAATTAATAAATAATATAATTAATAAACAATATAAATAATTGACAATAGAATAGGGAAATTATAATTACTTGAATAAGTGGTGGCAAATGATGAGGCACCTAGAAATAAAATAATTAAAATATAAAAAAAAAGTAAATAATTTATAATTTATAAAAAAAAAATAATAAATAAAAATAAAATAACAAAAATAAAATAAAACTAACCTCAAATCCAAAGAAAGTGTCAGCAAAAAATAAAGAATCTTTTACTCTTTCAATAGAACTTGACACAGGAGAAACTCCAACTTTAGATCTAATTTCATTTAATTCATTTACCCAAGATCTTGATTCATAAATAATCATAATAGGAATAATTATAGCACATCTAAATCTCTCTATAAAAGGTTCATTCTCCATATTAGCATGACATCCCCATGAAGGATCTGATCTATAAGGTGAATCTGATCTTGCTTTTGATATTTTTTTTTTTTTTAATATTTGATAAAAAATTTTAAAGAATTAAAAATTATTAATAAAATATATTTTCAAATAATATTATACTATACATGAAAATAATAATAATGATGAATTATTTATATTTACAAGTCAGTCCATTACTAATTCCAACAATGGGTTTTTTCAATTTCCAAGCTACATCATAACAAGCTTCATTCATTAAAAAATCACAAAAAAATAAATCAGGTTTAAATTCTGTTGCAGCTTCCATATATATTTTAAACCTATCTAAATATTCCGAATTTGAAATTTTCCTTTGTTTCTTAAATTTCTTAAATGTATATTCTTCAAAGAATATCTCTTCATAAACATTAGGTAAATCTCTTGTATCAAGTTTTGGTCCAGTTGAGAATTGTTTAATTTTAGGATATTCTGATGAAGGTGTAAAATTTCCTGGTGCCACTAATGCTACCTATTGAAGAGTTTTTTTTTTTTTTTGTTATTTTATTTGAAATTAATAAAATTGATAATAAAATTACATTATAATTACATTATATCCACGTTCAATTAGAATCTTGCAAATTTCTAATGCGGGGCGAAGATGACTATTTCCTTTAAAAAAATAAAATAAAATAATTAAAATAAATTAAATTAAATTAAATTAAATTAAATTATTAATTCAATTTCAATTAGATTAATTAGATTCAATTGATATAAATATTTAATTAATTTAAATTCATATTTAATTACCACCAATATAAGATCCCACTAAAATATTTCTCGGTATATCCATACGATCAAAATCCATTGGTCTTGATGCAAAATAAGTTTCTTCTTCATGGACTACTGCAGGATTATTAAATATCGTCCATGCTTCAACAAAATTGTGTGATGATCCAAAAAAATAATTATTGGACAATATGTGATTAAATAAAATAAATAAAAATAATAATAAATTAGAACGATAATTTTTTTTTGTTGAGAAAGGTATTAATTTATAAGATATTAATTTGTAAGGTTTCATTTTTTCCGAGTTAAAGACTTCTTGTATGTATTTTATTTTGAAGAGAAATAAATACGGAAGAGAAATATTGAAGAGAAAGGGTATATCGAGGAGAGAAATACTTATGTGAAGTGCTTATATAATAGAAGTTATTAATTAGGTAAGAACTCTAAAATAATTGTTGTGCAACAAATATTTCATATCCCACAAGTTAATCAATACTTTTTGATTATAAATTTGTATTTTAAAAATCCCGTATGATTATAATTGAGAAATTCAGAAATAATGAATGTTCGATAATTATAACAGATAAAAATGGTCAGTAAATGACATTTGTAGTCAGTGCATTTCGTTGATTATTCCCTATAATTAATTCGCTGATTGTTACACAACAACGAAGGTTCAAGACTTTACATCCTTTTTTGGGATTACCAGTTAATTAAAAAAAGAATCTATAGAAGGCAAAATCTGATATAAAGATCATCTTTCGTTCTTTCCTATTTATTATAATCTAAGATGCTCATTCGTTCCATAATTGTTGAAAGATTTATCATTACAACCATTTATCTGTTATGACTAGTCGAAATAATTGAACAAATTAGTCTAATATAGTGCACGTGAAATGCGTAATTTCTCAGAAGTATTGAGTAATGATTTCGCAATAATCATCTGTTATTTAATAATGTATTATTTAATAATCCTTTGCGATTACTTTTTTTTTTCATATGATCACGTTGTTAATACTTTAAAATAGCCTAGTCACGTAAATATTTTGGTTAAATTTTTCGTCTGATTCAAAAAAATTCTGATCTGATTCTTCTTTTCTTTTCAAAACGAGAATCACTCATATCGTTATTTCATATTAATGGTTTCGAGAAAAATAAAATTTGGATTATCTTATTTTGGTGCACTTCTGATTTGTTCAGCTAGTGGAACTCAATATTTGTTTGGTACTTATAGCACTGCTTTAGCTGATAAATTAGATTTTAGTTCAGTAGAAATAAATACTATCGGAAGTGCTGCAAATTATGGATTTTTCTTGAGTGGTCCTTTCTTTGGATATATAATTGATAATTATGGAACAAGAAAGTATGAATTGGTTTTAAAGAAAAAGAAATAAAAGAATCTGATAGTATAGTGAAATTGACTAATAACATTCATCATTTTTTTTCTGAAATTAATGATTTTTCTTTATATGAGTAGAACTTGTTTGGTATCTTCTTTTGTGATTTTCACAAGTTATTTTTTACTTGCATTGACTTACAATAAAATTCTTCCTAATGGATTTCTATTATGTTCTTTATATCTACTATTCATGGGAATGGCATCAGCTGCAGGTAATATTAAAAAAAATTTTTTCATATTTCAATTTTTAATTTATTGTTATTTTTTATTGATTCTTCTTTCTTTTTTCCTTCCCTTTTCTATTATTCCTGATAATATAATAAAATTATTAATATGTATATACATAAATATAATTGATAATTTAATAACATTAGGATATCTTGCGTCTCTCACAGCCGTTGTATGTATGAATTAAAATATCAACAATTAATTACGAATATTTACATTATATAAATAACTTTATGTTTTATAGACTAAAAATCTTGCGGCTGCATCGTCAAAACGCGGAATCGCGTTAGGAGCACCATTGGGATTATTTGGACTTTCGGCATTTATACTTTCTCAAATAAATTCACATTTCTTTAAATCAAATGTTTATGGTTTTTTAATATTTGTTGCAATATGGACAGGATTAGGTCACTTTATTGGAGCGTGTTTCTTAGTAATTATTCCTCCATCACCAGTAAATGAAGTTGTAGTAATTTCTACTAGTCCTGCTGCTAATAATCATAATCATAATAATAATAATGACGGCAAACCAAGTAAACATGTCAGATTTACCGAAGAGATGCCACTTATTCATAAATCATCAAATGGACTTGACGATCGACATGAACTTCATGAACAACGCGAAATTTGTGGAAGGGATTTATTTCAAAATGGAGATGCACGTCTTTTATTCATTGCCATCTTATTTATTGGTGGAACTGGATTAATGTACATCAACAATGTTGGAAGTATCATTAAATCATTATATTTAGCATCAATTGTTAATCATCAACCTCCATCAATCATTCAACAAAGAATCGAATTACATCGATTAATAAATTTTCACGTGTCTCTGATTTCAATTTTTTCTTGTGTGGGAAGGATTACTTCGGGATTGTTCTCTGATGTTGCAAAAAATATATATAAGTTACGAAGATTATGGTTCATTGTAATAGCAGGATTATTGTTACTTATTGGAAATGTAATATGTGGATTTATGGTAAAAGGTTTGAATATTTTATGGATCGCAAGTACTTTAGTTGGTCTTGGGTGTGGTGTCATGTTTGGTATTGCACCAACTATTACAAGTGAATGGTTTGGTGTTAGAAAATTTGGATCTAATTGGTAAGTGAAATTTTATATCATTTTATTTACCAGATGAAATCTTTTTTAATTATTATTTTTTTTTAATCATTCTTTTTAATCATTTTTTTTCAATTATTTTTTTTTAATTGTAATAGGGGATTTATATCTTATGTAAGTGTATGAATTAAGTTCAATTAAGTTTAACTAAGGTTTAATTAAAATTAATCAAGTTATGGATCTGTTTTAATAAAGGCTCCGGCAATCGGTGGACAATTATTCAATTTAATATTTGGTGTAAATTTTGATTATCATAGAAAAAAATATTATCATGAAGAATGTTTTGGTTCTTCGTGTTACAGTACAGCATTTTATTTCAGTAGTGCTGGTAATGTCATAAGTATCTTTATATCCTTGGGATTATTATTTTGGAGACATAAAAGAGATAAGATAAGATGGAGATGGATTCGAGAGACTGAATATGTTAGATATATTCAAGAAGAAGTAGTAGAAGACATAATGAATTTTGAAAGAGGAGGAGGAGGTAGTTGTAGTACTAGTGTTGATAATAATATTAGTAATGATGTTAATGGTAATACTATTGATCCAGGAACTTTCAAGAATAAAGTTCATGTTATTACTGAAGAAGAGGAAAGTGAGGAAGGACAAGTGGTGATACACAAACAACACGGAATTATAAGTAGTGACATTACTGAAGCTACTAAAGAGGATAATGAAGGAGAAATACAAAAATTAAAGAATTGTGAAATAAATAGTGGTAGTTCAAATTATGGAAGTATTCCACCAGTTAAGCAATCATTGAATTATATTCATTGAAAACTATACAATAATAATAATAATACAAGATGTAAATAAATTTTCAGCTTTCAATAATTCCAAAAATAGATTTGACTTATTCATTAGTTGTTATTATTAGAGATTAGAAAATTAATAAAGTATAAATTTATTAATTATATTTAGATAATTTTAATATATTAATTATATTTCATGTGATTCATTAATAGTGCTATAAAAGTTATAATGTGTAGTATAAACTAAAGAAGTTAATCTTATGTATCACCATGCTTAATCATGACTATGTAAACTAGAAAATAAAAACTATCTGATTTTGCCTAATTTATAATATAAGATAAAATAGGATGGTTGAATTTAGCTGGTTTATGATATAGGAATTCCAATTTTAGCTGATCTATAATATAAGAATTACCATTCAGTACAGTGATTTTTTTGTATTTGACTAGTAATATAACAAGAAAGAGACTGTTGTTTTATAACACAGGTCAAATACAAAAGAATTGCTGTACCAAAAAGGAATTCTGATTTTAACTGATTTGTAATATAGGATACAATAGGACAGTTGATTTTTTCTGACTTTTAGCTGATCTATAATATAAGAATCACTATTCAGTAAGTGTGATAATTTAATTATATAATTAAAAACTTTTATATCTAACTATTTTTTTTAGCTCTAACAAGGCCTTGCTTCAAATTTATTAATTAGAAAAAGAAAAAATCTTTATCAGGAATTTTGTAGAGATGTTCTAGTATGCTATAAATACAAAACATTGAAATAATGCACTAAAAACACTAATTTTAATATACTATAAATATAAAACATTTAAATTATATATGTTTCCAAAATTGGTTTATAATTTTTGTAGTATTTCATCTCTTTGAGATTTATTCAGAATTTATTCTATATATGGAAGCAAAAAAAATACCTAATTAAGTATATCTTTAATTAAGGAATTTATCTTGATAGTTAAAAAATTTTGAATTTTAAGTGAAATAATTTTGTCTTCTATGAAAAACTATTTTGACTTTTTTTTCAAAATTGTATTTTTAAGGTTCCAAAATAATTTTGCATACAAATATAGTTTAAATAATGCACTAGAACATTATGTTTTAGTATGCTATAAATACAAAATGTTCAAATAACATATTAGAATAGTTAGGGTTCTGCAAAATCAGATCAGATCAGATTTTTACCAATATTTGAATCTATTTGATATTCATTTTTCTCAAATCTGATCTAAATTTGTCATATACAAATTCAACTTTTTAATTTTAGATTTTATTTAGAATATATAAAATCATCAATTGTTGATACATATAAAACTTTTTATTTTATAAATATATATTAAAAATAATACTATGTAATCTTAAATATAAGAATGAGTTTTATATTATATAAAAAGAATAGGTTTATATTATTATTGCTCTTTGCAAAATTATGCAGTCATGTGATAAAACAATCTACTAATAAAATGTCAAAAACCAGTGATTACAAAATACGTGTCATATGAAAAAATTTATATTACATATTAATAACTAAATTAAAATGTATGGAATAATAGACGAGTGTTTAGAGTAATTATTTGTTATGTTTTGGATTTTTTTTGAAAACTTTCTTATAGTAACT